GGGAGTTCCACCTAAATAATTTTTTGTATCCTTGTTTTTTCAAAGTCACCCGTGGGAAGCAGATTAGTGGAACCATTTTCGTTCCTCCCACTGCTCACTTTTGTTCTCCAAAGTGGGCACAGGCGAGATTAGCCTGGAGATATATGGTCTGAAGATTACAGCGGCCCAGCTCTGAGAAAGGAGGTGGCTATAGGAATGGGAAACACCTCTGTCCACAACAAATTACCTGAAGCATCTTGCAGGGGCGGCCACGTATAGGCCAAGGACATCTAGTCTTGTCAGGGTTGGCAAAACTGAGGGCTGGTCCCGAATTTCTGCGGAGGAGAGGTACTTTTGTTCCCAAGTGGTAGAGATTGCTCTCTCTTTGGACTGCTGTCCTGGATGCTAGTTCCTCATGTGTGTGCTTTTCTGAATTACGCATGCTGTCTATCCCTACCTAGAAGCTAAGAGGCCCAGGAGGGCACCTAGGAGGGGGACAGAGGGTGTGTCAGTCATAGCCAGCTAACTTAGCACCTGCAGGCAAGAGATAACATTCCCCAGACGTTTACAGAGCCTCTGACTACAATGGGGCCTCCCCCCAAAAGACACCATTGTACCGCTGGTGGGGGATATAATAGGAGAGACCAGAGCCTGCAGCCTTGAACTTGAAATAGCCTAAAAAATAGAAAGACTGGGGAGCCACAGAAAAGGCTCTCCTTCTGAGATTCAACAGAGGCCCGATTCCACAGGCTCCACACAGAAATAGTTCACAAAGGGACCATAAACCCCTTGTAATGTGAAAAATGGGATTCCTGAGTGCCCTGGGTGATATCGACAAACAGCCTCAGAGCTGGACAAGGAGCCAGGGCTCCTCGCTCACTGCCAGCCAGTGCCTCTTTACTTTCTCTGTGCAGGAGGAAGCTGTAGGGACGATAAGCCCTCAGAAACGGTTGGTGGCGGGGGGGGGGGGGGGTAGGGAGAGGTGTAGAACGTCTAGAAGTAACGTTCTCTCCAAACTGGCAAGACTTGGGCTATCTGTGAGATCAAGAACTTCAAGGACTGCTTACATTGCTTTTTAGTTTTCAAAAGTTATTTTATTATTTTGTGTTTGTGGGTGTTTTGCCTGCATGTATGTCTGTGCATCATGTGTTATGGTTAAAATAAAACATCACTGTTCCCCAAGTGGCTGCAGCGGGCAGCGGGTCCTGAGAACAGGGAGCCCCCAGTGGCCCATATGGCAACGAGTCCCAGACAGGGAGCCATAAGGCAGGTGAGAGATCTAGATGGATAGGCTTGCAGAGTGAGGTTGGATATTTATTTAGTGGGTTATGGAAGGGAAGGGGAAAGGGAGACAAGAAGAAAGAGGCAGAGAGAGAGAGAGAGAGAGAGAGAGAGAGAGAAGGGGAGAAGTAGGGAGAAGGGAGCTAGGTAGAAGCTAGAAGCTGCCTCTTGGGGGAGAGACAGAAATGAAGGGGCTCAGACTGGAAGCAGATCTGCCTGCCTAGATGGAGGGGAGGGGAGTAGGAGGGGCTTAGCTCTTAAAGGGACAGGACAGACCATTACATCATGCATGCCCTTAGTGCTTGTGGGGGCCAGAAGAGGGCATCTGATGCTCTGGAACAATTGTGAGCAATCATGAGGATGCTGGGAATCAAACCCTGGGTCCTCTGGAAGAGCAGACAGTGCTCTGAGCAATTTCTTAACCTGTTTTCATTTTTTAAGAGAGAGAGAGAGGATCAGGTAAACTATAATAATATACATAAGATATTTTTCAAACTTTATACTTCATATTCAAGTACATTTATCACCAAAGGCAAAATTGTTATTCATAACATAATAACAGGATGTTTACTTATTTATTTATTTATTTTTGAGGCAAGGTCTTGCAATGTGTGGGGTTACCTCTTATTCCAATTGTCTCTGACACTGGGTAGGGAGAACTCTGAGGGACACTGTGGGTGGGTGAGGCTACCACCATGTTACCCTCTTATTCCAGTGTCTCTGACACTGGGTAGGAAGAACTCTGAGGGACACTGTGGGTGGGGCCACCACCATGTTAACTCCTTTGGCACTGTGCATGAGGAACAGAGGCGTCCCGAGAAGGCCTCTGACCTGTAGGTAGTATGTGGGGCAGTGAGAACTGAGTCTATGGCTTTGCCCTCCTGGATGTGCCAAGATGCTTGCACACAGGACTCCATATTGGCTATGGACATGGCTAGCTCAACAATTCAGCTCGGCAATGGCTCTTTTCCTGTCTCTACCCCCACCCCCAACTCTCTCACTTCTGCTCCTAGGACCACAGTTCCCATTGAAAGGGTTGCAAAGCCTGTCACTCCAGTCGTAACCGCTGTGCTCAGTGTATGAGCTGTGGTTTGTTCTGCTGTCCTAGGCTCTACGTTTCAGAACCCCAGTGTTTTCCTTGTAAGAACAGCAGAACACTTGACCTTCCTATGCTGCTCTTTTGCAGTTGATTTTTTGGAGTTCAGATGAAAACTCTGACATTGAGATTTGTTATATGCCATCTGTGGAATGCTTTCTTTTTTCTTTCTTTTTTTTTTTTTTTTAAATTCCGCTTTTGCCATTTAGCAGTGTGAGCTGTCCTTTCTAGCCTTGAGTTATCTAAGAATTTGCCCATAAAATTTACTGGCTGCTTAGAAAAGGCCACCAATGGCCAGTCCTTAACCTTATCTCTCACTCTGCCCGCCCTGATTGCTTCACGCTTACAACCTCACCTCCTCACTGGCAAGAAGGGTCAAGCCCTCACCCTCAGGGTCAAGAAGTTGTTTTTCTTTCTACTTGAAATCCTCTTCCCGAAGGGCTCTTCACATGAATGCCTATCTCTTTATCATACATTAAACACTCAGGTTGAAATGTAGTGTACTTGCCTAGCATGCACAAAGACGGGGGTTCTATCCTCAGCACTGTATAAACCAGATGTGATTGTGCATTCCTAGAACCCCCAAACTCAGGAGGTGGAGACAGGAGGATCTGAAGTTCAAGGTCATTTACTTTTCCATAGTGGAACTATGGAGGCTAACCTGTGCTATGTGAGATCCTATCTCATATCCATAGTGGAGTTTGAGGCTAACCTGAGCTATATGAGAGCCTATCTCAGTCAGTTCCCCATCCCCAACCCCTCAAATTGCAAGTCAGCTTAAAAGAAATGTCTCAAGACATTGCCATCACCACTGCCATGACGCCTATCCCAAGCCACAGCTGCCACACTGGAGTATTAATTTGCATCTTTTTTTTTCTCTTGTCTGTTTCCCTAATGAGAACAACACATGCAGCACAGTAGGAACATCATCGCCTTTTCCCACCGTGGCATCTCCAACACCTAGTTCAGCACCCAGCACTTGGCAGGAGCATATCTGACTCATCCCCTTTACTCATGGGTGAACCAGATGCCGGGCCTCTCCCCGGTTCTACCAATTCTCTTCTCTCTCCTCTTGCGCCTCATCTCTTCCCCCTCTGCTGAACCCAGCCGCTGGCAGAGAGACTGCTGTAATTGCTCCCATCTAGCAAAGCAAACAAGTCACCTCTCTCCTGGTGACCTGGTTCAGCTGACCCACATGCTTTAGTTATGCGCCATTTCCTCCCCGGAGCAGTTCCTTCAGGAGGGAAGGGCTTGCATCTGCTTTGTCTGTCCGATGTTTCCTTCACATCAGAGCAAACAATGCAAATATGTCAGACACGTGAGTCATCTTGCGGAGTAAATGGACGAAATAGCAAAGCCTTGAATTAACAGAGAAGATAGCAACCCAAAGCTTGAGCAATGTCCAAATAATATTTACCCAGGAAACAAATAGGGTGGCCTTGTAGGGAAGCGTGGTGACCGCTCACACTGGATATTCCAAGAAGATGCAATTCCGTCCTCCATGCTCTGTCGACCATGAAAAACTTAGCAGGGCGGTTAAAGGATAGCAGTGTTGACTTTAAAATGCAAAATTGGAGGCCCAGAGATGGAGTCTTCCTCAAACACTGCAGACCTCTTCACTTCAAAGTCAGATTTAAAATGTGAGTTTACTTCTTTTCTGGGATCTGGCATGCAACAATAGTGTGGGCCAGGAGGTGGCGATGCCTCTCTCTCTCTCCAGGACCGCTGGGCAGTGTTGAAGGACACAGAGAGAAAAGGTTGGGACCTGACCTGATCAGCCAGGAGCCTGTAGAAAGAAGAGCCAAGAAAACAGGGCTTTGCCTCAGATTGCCTCATTCCTGTTGGCTGGGCCCCATGAGGAAAGTGATCCTTGCTGAAAAAAAAAAAAAAAAAAAAAAAAAGCACATTTTGAAGGCGTCAGATGCGTGAGCAACTACAAACCCGACCGGTTGGCAGGTCCACACTGAGGATTTTTATCTCAAATTCAAGGACTCTGAAAATCTAGGACAGCAACTTGGCAAACCAGAGCTGACAGAACTTTGGGTCAGCTTTCCCTTGGCTTGGGCGATGGCCTCCGAGAGCCAAGGAGGTTCTCTTCAAGGTGCAGGCTCTGCCCAGACAGCGTTCTATGCTAGAACTACCTACAGCTAGGTCTCTGGTTTTCAACCTTCCTAAGGCCGAGACCCTCATGTTGGGGTGACCCCCAACCATAAAGTTGCTTTCGTTACTACTTCACAACTGCAATTTTGCCACTGTTATGAATCGTAATGCAGATATCTGTTTTCTGATGGTCTTAGGTGGCCCTTATGAAAGGGTCATGGACCCCCAGGTTGAGAACCACTGCAAGCCCTAGGTCTGTGTACAACACTGTGGGCAAGGGTTGGAGGCGAGGGATAGGGATATGCACTTCCTGGAGTGAAGCTGGTTTTCTTTCTTTCTTTTTTTCTGCTTACCTGGGGGCTCCAACGACTCAAAACACATGGGAGATCCAAGTTATGGGCTGGGGTATAGCTTAATGCTGAAGTAGAGACCTTGAATCCAATCTCTCGCACAGAAAAGGAAAAGGAAGGCGGGAAGACAGGCAGGCAAGCCACTTCTATTCCCCACAGAGCCCTGACTAATTTCTCTTTTTAATCCCAAATAGTTCCCTGAGGCATTCCAGCTCTCTGGTTTTCATTAAGAAGCTTCTCAGTCAAGAGCCAGCCGGTTGGCAGGAAATATCGTCAGGTATTTGACCAGAGAGGGCAGAAGATGTATTGACAAGAAGGAAGCTGTTAACCAGGTAAGCATCAGAGAAGATGCGGAAGTCTTGTTGGAGAGCTACACGAAGCAGCCTCTGTCCTCAGGGGTGGGCATGGGGAGGGGTGGGAATCGTTCAAAGGTAAAAACCCACAGCTGTGGCTGCTCTCTCTGAGCTGGAGAGGGGGTCACGGGACCCCAGGTTTCCTGGAATAGGAGCACGGTGAGGCTGATTCTGCAAGTATTGGGAGAGCTGTAAACTGCCAGGCGTGGCTAAGGTGACCGGGGCAGGAGCAGAAATCCGGCAGGAAGCAGGCAGAAGGGAACCAGTCCTTCCTTCTTCTGCCTGCCACATTCTTACCACAGAGAAGATGACCCACAGAGCCAGCTGGCAGAGCCAAATTGTGGTTGGCAGAGTCTGGGCTCCAGCATCACACAGGCTGGGCTTGGAATAGAGAGACAAGCGATTAAGAAGGTCTCTCCAAACATTCTGTTTACTAAAGTATCCACAACCATTCTCAAGTCTCTGTGTGATTTGTCATTGGGCAGGCTCTGCAATGTATGTGATGAATTTTTAGTAGAGTTTGGTATTCCCAATGACAAGGCGCGGCCACCTTCCTCCATAGTCTTATAGCAGAGAGAATCTTATTTCCAATTTTAAGTCAGATCCTCTTCCAATTGAGTGGGGAGCAATGGAGACTTCCTAACTAGGGCTCATGGATGCTGCGGGCACTGGCCTATTTATACAGACTGTCTTACCTCTCTAGGGAAGTGCTCTGGGACTCTGACTCAGAAACCAGAGTCCACTGTCTCCCCGGACACTAGTCTATCTCCCGGTCTCGGAAATACAGCCTCTCGCCATGCTCCACAAACATGACTCGGCAAATACAGTTAAAAAGCAAAACTATTTGGGTTTCCCACTCTTTCTTCTCTCTCAGCTGCTCAAGGCAGGAAAGGCTTCCTCTGCTCCAGGTGAAATTGAGGGCAAACTCCATGAGGTTCTGGCCACATGTAGTCACACAGCCCTAAACCACACAATAGAAATGTAACCGTCAACCTACCCCTTTTTGGCTGGGCTTTGAGCATGTCCTTCAAAGGCTTATGAGTGGGAGCTCCATCGTCCGTGTGGTGATATGAGTGGCGGATCTTTCAGAAGACAAGGCTGGTTCCTTTCCGCCCTCTGGCCTCTTAACTCCTAAGTGATCTCTCCCAGGTGTGTGGGCTCCATCACAGTGTGCTGTAGCTGAGGGAGTCCTCGCTGGAGCCAGCACCCAGCCTCGGGTATTTTGTTATTGTAATGGAAAATGGACAAACATCCCACCCTCCATGACCTTTTATTTTAAAACTAGTTTCTCTCTCATCTCCTAGCTTAGGGTTCTTGAGAGGTAGTAAAATAGGGGCTGGGAGGAGGGGTGGGCGGTCAGCTGTGAACAGTTCTCCGTTTATTATCTGTCCGTTCTAAGTCTAAATGCACCTATAATTCTGCCACTTAGGAAGCCGAGGCAAGAGAATCGTGCTTCTAAGGCCAGCCTTGGCTGCATAGTGAGGGCGCATCTCAGGACAAAACAGAAAAATAGAAAACCAAGTTGGATATCCAGGCATGAGAAATGGTGTGGGGACTGGGGTTTTTGTTCTTGACTGTTTAACGTTCTTTCTTGGACTTTGGTAAATGTTAAATGTTGCTGTTCAGAGGCCTTTTTGTGGTGATCTTTCCTTCCTCTGAGGATGTCTTCTCCAGAGCGTGCCTCCCAGACACCTCCCAGATTCCTCTGTCCGAGATGCTGTTCATCCTCTAGGAGTCTGGTGAGATCTGGGGCTTCCCCCTGGGGTCTGTCTATCCCTCAGGACAGACCTGAGACTTTCTGTTCTTTCTTAGGCATGGCTCACACCTGACTATACACTTGTGCACCTTCTGTTGGGATGACCTTGGGAAACACGAGTGTTCCTAGCCCCATCCCTTGACCTCCTTTTATTCCGTAGTCAGAGCCAAGACCAGCCCGCTATTTGCTTTTTAGACGTTCTAGATGGGAATTAGTCTTGTGTGCTTCCTAAACCTACAAGGAATGCCTATGTGGTCCCGCAATGGATGAGTTGAAGCCCCTTTCCATAAGCTTCCTATGGCAGCCCTGCCCCCACACTGTCTCTCCCATAGAACACCAGAAAGGCTGTCCACGAATCTGCATTTATCATCAAAGTCTGGGCCATTTCATCACCATGAGCAAGTAGTTCAAGCGTCACAGAACGAGTGTCCTTTCGTCTAAATCCTGCAGGATGTTTTGGTGCCGCACCTCAGAGTGTGAGTTCTGGTGCCTTTGCGCCTTGGCAGAATGTCTGTTTTAGAGTCTTGCTGTGTGTGTACACGGAACAGAGAAGACGTGTCAAAAAGCGGGCCTGTTTTACTCTAAAAGCAACAACATTCTGAAAGCATCCAAACCTGAGAACAACGGACAGAATAGGACTTCTTATGCCTCGTAGGGTTTGCTGAGATAAAGGGGAGATGCTGGGAAGTTTCCCCCAGGGTCTTGGAATCAACACTTAACTGAAATCACCAAACTGTTTATAATTGTGTATAGAAGATTTGAAAGCCACAGGACAGCTCTGGAGGACTGCTTTTGCCTTGCTGCGCTCTCTCTCTTTTACACACACACACACACACACACACACACTCACACGCACGCACGTGCATTTTTGTAACCATGACCATTGGACAGGGACCTTGTGGGGGTTGTTGAGTACCTAGAGGTTTTGTATTTGCTGGATTTGAACCCCAGGGCCTTGTGCATGCTAAATGTGTGTACCTTAACACTGAACCACATCCCAGCCTGGTTATACAGAAGTTCTGAAGCTACCGCTCATCTGGTATTTACTGTCTGATGCTGGATCCAGAGCAAACTACTGGGCTGGTTGGCAAGTGTTTCTGAGAAGGGAGCATTATGCAGAGTGGGAAGTGCTTGTAGCTGTCAGCTGGGGTTCCACCCCTCACAGCTGGCCCACTCCAAGGTCACTTGCTTGTTGTTCTTGGGCACCAACTGCTTCCTGCTTCTGCCTGCCTGAGCGTGTGCTCTGGCCCTTGCAGAGCTTGTCCCAGAAGTGACCCTGACCAGTGGCCATGGGTGGAGGGCTCTCAGGGACCATTTTGAGGAGTGTGCCACGTAAGTTATCAGAAGATCTCAGAGGAATTTGAATCTCTTTCCCCTCTTGGAAACCTATTCACTAACCCTTAACTGGGTCACCTGGATCAAAAGGCAAGCTTCCAGGCTAGCGAGATGGCTCAGTGACTCAGAGGACCTAGGTGCAGCTCAGTGGTATGGTACATGTAAGCACCCACATGGCAGCTTATATAAACCATCTGTAACTCCAGTCAGGGGATCCACTGTGCTCTTCTGGCCTCCTCGGGCACTGCACACACATGACGCACATACATACATGCAGGCAAAACATCCATATTTATAAAAGTAAAATAAAACGAAAAATACAAACTTACAATTTTTTTTTTATTTGAAGACTTTTTTTTCTTCTTTTTCGATGCAGGCCTCGTATATCCCAGACTGGTCTTGAACTAGATATACAGCCTGCCGTCACCGCCTGCTTTTTGGGATTAAAGGTGTGCACTAACACAAACCGTTTATGTGGTGCTGGGGATGGAATCCAGGACCTTGCATTCAGACAGGCTTGTCCAAGGCCCCTCGATTTGCAAGTATCTTGATTTCAGGCTCCTAAGACTCAACTTTATTACTACCCCTGTCCACCTCAGCGCCTCCTGAGACAGGCCTCTTAAAAACCATACGAGGACCAATGCAGAGCTCCTTGGGCCATAGGCCAAACGCTAATTTAGAGATCTTAATTGGCTTTATCTGTGGTTCTGGAGCCAGTCCGTGCTTCACTCAACCAAATAAAATATGTGCGTCAATGAGCCAAGCAGCAGGGTTTAGTTTTTGTGGATATAAAAGCACTGAAGGAAACAAGAGGAGAAGGAGGGAGAAGAGGAGGAGGAGGGGGAGGGAGGACAGAGAGGGCAGAAGGGGAACAGCAGTAGCAGCAGAGTATGGGAGTCATTTCTAACTACTTTCCTGATATGGGGAGTTCAGAGAGACAAAGGGAGAGAAAAAGGTTAACTGATTGGAAGGTGAGGCCCCCCCCCCCCCCCCACGACCTCCTCATCCCCCTAGAAGTCCAGAAAACAGCATAGTTTTGGTTTAGTGATGAAGAACTTCAGTTTGATTCTGAGTCTCCTCTTCCTCTGATCTGTAGGATCTACCCAGACACTTTATCCAAAACAGTGGCCCCCTGTGGTGTTTCTTTGTTTCCTGTAACATTCCTATCCCTGCCTTGCTTTCCCCACTCACTCACAGAGCTTTCTGGGACCCAGGACCAAGCCAACTCTTTGTCCTCAAACCTTTGCAGCAGTGTCTACTGTGTGCGGTGGTGGGGACTAAAGGTGGGGCAGTGACATCCGGAGTCTCTGACAGGAGAACACAAACTGTGCTCGCTGAGACCGCACTCCTCTGTAAATCCAGCTACTGCAGATAGCAAAAGTTAGCAGCTTCCACTGACTGACAGCTTTCTTGACAGCGAGTGTGACCCCAGCACTTTCCCAGCACCCCATTAACAGCAGTCTTAGGCAGAATGTCCGGCTCTCTTATCTTCTGGTTGAGGAGATAAAGTCACATTACTTGCATGTGACAGAGTTGATATTTGCCATTAGCAATTTGGCTTCTGAGCCTGAGTTCTTGACCACGCCCTGTACTGTGGCCTACTGAACAAGCAAAGGGCTGGGGAGGCCTCTGTAGTTCTTCATGTGTTTTGAGCCTACCCAGCGCTGGGATTCAAGGTGTGTGTACCCCCACTGCCCGGCTTTAAACTTTGTTTCTAATTCGAGGTGGAGGAGAGGGGATGAGAAACAATGTTGAGTTACCAGGTGTTTGGAGGGTGAGGTTCAGATGAAATGAAGCCCTAGGTGCTCTTGGCAAACTAAACGTGGTGGATTTGGATGCTATCGGCAATACTCCACAACTTCCCACCACCCTTGTCAGGGAAGGCGTT